TGAAGTAAACCCTTATCTATATTGATCGCCGAACTGTGAGCATACGAACTCACGTCCTCATGAAAATCGTTCAAAATTTCAAGATCGCATATTTTGGCCAAATATCACCGCGAATGGTTGCAGATCACTCTGAATGCAGACATTATGTTTATGTGCATATGTTTGACGATCTTGATACAGCACACTTACTTACGCCCCATGACAACTCTTACATCTGTAGCTCAAATGCAAAAAGCGATAGAGTCGGTAAAGATAACTGCTTTTAAAAACTGACATTGTATCCGTAATCAGCACCCTCACTCACCTACTTATAACAATTTCTAGCCCGGTGGCTCGAAGTTTGCAAAAAAGTCGATAAATTGATATCGACCGATGACGAAATGTAGTCTACGAGACCAGCTCGGCCTCTAACTTGTGTGCAAAGTTTGGTCCGCATTGGTTCAGAGATGCAGTTCTGTTAACATACGCACAGACACACTGACACATGACATCCCTTTTAGATGTTAGAGATAAATAATAACAATAACAGTTGGAATTCTAAAGTCTATCAATCTCATCACAAAATCGTTGGCGTCTCCTTGCAGTCGTTCATCACTAGGTGGAGATTAAAGGACCATCTACTATTTACAGCTCTAAGGCTGGTCATTCTTGCTACTCTATCAATGCTCTTAAATCTCTGCGTGCGCGCATAGCCGAAGAGTGCATTTCCATTGTGTTTCAGACACCATGACAGGTAAAACCATGATTTCCATCAAAGTGCATTGTATAGTTTGTTTACAGATAATATAAATTTTAAATAAGTCGCAAAAGAGTTGAATTCCTCTCAGCTCTGAGATGCGTGCACTCCAGAACGGCACAGTCTGTGCCAATCTCAATCAAGCCAAAATTGGCATGGCGGGAGCCCGTATCGCGCGTGTTTGTCACTCTACGCTGTCGAATCTCATGAATTCTGTCTCCGACAGTTCGCATATGCAACGCAAAACCCTACCGCTGCGAGCGCACAAACATACCCCAACGGTTCAGCTTAACCTGTATAAACTGTAATTTGTGAAAACGACTCCTCTCAACGTGTTGAAAGAAAAAGGTAGTAAGATGAACTACATAAAAGAGTAGGAGAACAACCAGCCTTGAAACTACACCTAGTGAATGACTCGCGCTTTCAACTACATTTAGTAATGAAAGTTGCAGGGAAACGCCTACGATTCTTATGATGAGATTGATAACTTTAGAATTCCAACTGTTACTGTCATTATTTATCTGTATCCTACCAAACGCAAGTGTGTGTCTGTTTGTCATGTGTCTGTGTGTTTGTGCGTATGTTACCAACAGAATTGTTTCTCTGAACTAATGCAGACCAAACTCTGCACACAACTTAGGGGCCGAGCTGTTCTCGTAGACTACATTTCTCAGCGGTCGATATCGATTCATCGATTTTTTGCCAACTTTGAGCTACCGAGTTAAGAAGTGGATACATGTTGAGTGGGGGTGCTGATTACGGATATACTTGTTTTGACTACTTGACTACTTTCACTGACGGTACTTTGATAAACACTGAGAGTTGTGCTGACCATTGTAAATGGTTAGAGAGTACCAACAAGGATGATAGCAGCGGCTGGATTGCGGATTTCTAACCTATTCGTTGGTTGGCTATGATAATGAGCAGAAGCGATTTTCAGCAGAAAACACGGCTACAGCGATGACAGTAACAATCTGAAAAAAAAAAAGAAAAGCAGATGTGATTTTCGGTGTTTTACCTTATGACTCTCATAGCACAAGATTGAAAATGCATGTACGGTTAAAAAAATATGCCCACTTCTGTTTGATCAACTGAGGCAACACACATAACCAAAGCTATTCTGTAATCGCGGAAGTACATGGATGCAATTTTTGATGCTGATGTTTGCTGCGTTCGCTGTAACATAACCAAACAAATGCAAAATCAAAATCAAGTGGTAAATAATCCTTATTATCATTTAGAGAACCATAATTCGCAGAGTCCCAAAACAACCGCGTCTGTTCATCTTTCCACTAGATGAAATTCGGAGCCAATCCTTGCCGCGAATATTATATTCTCCAATGATGTGTTCAACGAAAAAGCTCGAAGCTTCAAAACAACAAGTGTTCAACTGGAAAACAATACTCTCTTAAAAATTAGTTGATAGCTAGAGATACAATCTTTAAGAGCATACAAGATTCATTTTGTTGAAATCAAGCACTAAATAACAATAGACTTATAACTTACTAGCTGGCTTACCCGGCTCCGCCGTATCCGGACCAAACTTGGCACACATACACTTCGGGCCCCGGCGGGTGTCACAGTCCACTTTTCGTTATCGATCGATGTCGATTTTACCGATTTTTATCGATTTTTTTGCAGAGTTCACCTACAGGGCTAGGAGTTGGCACGGGGGGGGGAAGTGAGCATGGGGATTCCGAATACAACATTAGTTTTCAGGATCGTCCATTACTTTTATCGATTTTATCGATTTTTTTTGTAAAGTTTGACCTGCGGGGCTGGGAGTTTGCACAGGGGGGTAATCGAGCATGTTGATTACGAACACAATATTAGTTTTCAGGATCGTCCATTACTTTTATCGATTTTATCGATTTTTTTTGTAAAGTTTGACCTGCGGGGCTGGGAGTTTGCACAGGGGGTAATCGAGCATGCAGATTACGAACACAATATTAGTTTTCAGGATCGTCCATTACTTTTTCGATTTTATCGATTTTTTGAAAATTTGAGCTAGGGGGCTGGAATTTGGCACAGGAGTGTAATCGAGCATGCTGATCACCCCCCTTGGGGATGATCAGCATGCTCGATTACACCCCTGTGCCAACTCCCAGCCCCCTAGCTCAAACTTTGCAAAAAAATCGATAAAATCGATAATAGTAATCGATAATCCCGAAAACCAATATTGTATTCGGAATCCCCATGCTCGATTACCCCACTGTGCCAACTCCCAGCCCCGTAGCTCAAACTTTGCAAAAAAATCGATAAAATCGATAAAAGTAATCGATAATCCTGAAAACCAATATTGTATTCGGAATCCCCATGCTCGATTACCCCCCTGTGCCAACTCCCAGCCCCGTAGGTGAACTCAGCAAAAAAATCGATAAAAATCGATAAAATCGATATCGATCGATGACGAAAAGTAGCCTATGACACCCGCCGGGGCCCGATGTGTATGTGTGCCAAGTTTGGTCCGGATCGGTTCAGAAATGGAATTTTCTATTCGGAACATACGTACACACAGACAGACAGACATACAGACAGACAGACATACATACAAACAGACATTCAGCTTTATATATAAGATATGCTCTTTATATAAATCAGTTTGAATCTCTAGATCTTCTCCAGTTACATTATCCTTCACTCATACTTAGAATAATCCGGCAACTGAAAAAGGGTGAAAGGAGTTTATCTAGAAGTACTTGAGCGCCTTATATTATGCAGTGAATGTGCACAAATGGTGTGATGGCTACTTAGGACAGCTACAGTGAGAATGCTCTTACGAAATGAGTAGCGCGTAAGACGAAGTTGGGCTAGTGTGGGCAAGAAGAAAATCAGAATTAACAAGCGTTTGGCAGTTGAGCAAGGATCAAAATGGTACGATACCGCTCATGATTTTTGCAAAAAAGACGTGATAGCATTAGCGCATTCCGTATCGCTTCTGAGTGGACGTCCGGATCTAAGAACACCACCTAAGTTAATGTCAGCTTGCGCGGCGCATCTTCTGATGTATGGTGACTAGTCGAATAGTAGTATTATGATAACAGTTTCATTTTGAACTTTCGCTTAAGGTAATTTATTTAGTGTGTTGACGGTTGCTTTCCAACGTGAGAAGAAGTCTGAAAAGATTAGCGAAAATTGAACAGCTCCTATAAACCTACCCTATTCAGATATGCATCTCTGTGAATGGTGTCTCAAACCTAAAAATTGTCTTCTCGGAAACAAGATATAGCGATGCCACCCCAGTGTCACCTAATACAGGTAAACATTGCGCCTTTTTCCCAAATATGTGCAGTATGCTGGAAACAAATGAGCTCAAGCATACGGTGGCCGCACAAAGTATCTTTTTTTAACGAAAACTCACATAATGATACAAGTTATTGCTGTCAGTAACACCAAGGTTCAAACAAGTCCAATCAAGACCAGGGACATAAATGAATATTTATTGAACAAAGACTTACAAGACAAACAACTTATAGAACAACAAATTGGCTCAAAAAGCAAAACTTTCGCTACTATCTAAGATCGTATGAGATCTACGGGATCGCTACGGTAAATCTGTGAGGCTAGCGTGTATACAAAAAGGGATTATTCTGCGCTTCTAGTTTAAATTTTTGAAAAAGTTCTAACAGACAAATGGCTTCAATTTCCATTCAAATTCTTTTTATCAATATTATAGTGTGCGACTTGTGTACGTTGGAAAACTACCCAATGAGGTCCTGCACTTGCAGCTACGAAGATGTGAGAAGAAATGTGAGAGAATGGCGTTATCTTCTCACATGATCCACGATTTGGCAATCCAGTAGTTGACACCTTTCATAATTCACGTTGAATCGTCAAAGCAATGAATCAACATTAGCAAAAGATACACTTAGAAACCGACTCGATCTCATAATAAAAATTGGATTCTTCACAAATTCTATGAATCGACAGCTTTCCTCTGAATTAGTATGCTGACCTCACGGAAAGATCATTTTGCAAACGACTGTGGAACATGAGTTTGAACATTGATCAACCAAGAATATTTTCATAGCTGCTTTTGACGTTAATCACTTTTTGCCTTTTGAAAGCGAATGTACCATGTCATTTGCATATAAAAGTGCGGTCTGTTTTGGAACAAATCAGAAAAATTTATAGTTCGCATGCTTCCTTTCACTTGGTTTTTTGGTCATTTCCGTATAAAAGTGCGGTCTGTTCTGAAGCAAATCAGGAAAATTTGTAGTTCACAGGCTTCCCTTCACTTGGTTTAATTTCTCTTGACTTCAGGATGAAGACAATCTTCCTTCTACTTCTTCTATTCGTTTGCGCAAATGCCAGCTTGCTTGACTGGAAAAAAGTGAATAAACTCAGAAAGACACTGGCTAAGCTGGAAGCGGTACGAATGCAACACAGCTAACGGCAAAACATAAGGAATATTTTCAGCACCTGGATGTAGCTCGCTTACTTGCGATTCGTGAGAGGCTTGAAAGTCATCTCAAGGTGCCAGAAATGAATCCTCAACAGCAAGCTCTTCTGAAACAAAGACTGAAGGTGAACTGCTATACAAGAATGAGTTTTTGATCCTTTTCTTTTTCAGGAAATAAAACCCGCCAAAGTGGCAAAAAGTGACTCAATTGCGGAAGTAAATGAGGAAAGTGGTATATCGGAAATTCTCTACCAAGGAGATATGGTCTTGACTGAGTAATGATTATTATTATTGAGCAGGGCAAGCTATTTTGACACAATTCTTCAGGGAACAAGCAGAAGAGCTGATTAAGCAAGAGGATGGTGCGCGAGAACGAAGACAGGCTTATGTAGATAAAAAATACAAGTGGCCTGGCAAACTATACTTTTCTTTCTACCCGAATACAAGTTCGTGTCATGCACTGGTCTTTATCATAGGTTTACTGCAACTGAGTGCTATACAATGTTACTGCAGAAACCAAAACAAAGGCTGCCGCTCGAAAAGGTGCAAAGCTATGGCACGATAACACATGCGTCGATATGATTGAAAACAGCAAAGGTACGATGTTACAAGGAGAAATCCCGAAGGAACGGTTGTTCAGTTTCTGAACGAGTAGCAATTTTCGAAGGATTGGGATGCTACTCTTATGTTGGAAACTTACACCGATTGCAAAACCTTTCCCTAGGTAGAGATTGTGAACGGGTAAGCTTTTCTGATGGCTGTAAAAGAAACGAGCGGTTTGAGGGTAGACAACGTAAGAGCTCGTGAAAGCCTTCCTTTTTGAATAAAAAAAAAGTGGAAGAGGAAGGAATAAGCAAAACTGCAAAAAGTGGGAGTGTTTCACCTACCCCCCCCCCCTGAGACCGCCCTGTCTTTTAAATAAACTCTAGCTCAGCACTGCTTTATCCTCTTTTCTTAGTACTGGATAGCTGCGCATGAACTCGGCCATGCTCTTGGGTTGAAACATGTCCAAGCGAGGTACGACCGTGACAAGTATGTCAAAATCAATGTGGGAAACATTCCTGTGAGTATGGCTACTCCGCATAGCCTGAAAAGAGGCAAAACAAAGTTGAATTCAGGAAGACAAACGCTACACTTTTGCCAAGACATCTAAGGAAGAATTCAGCACCTATAATATACCCTATGATTTTGGTAGCAGGATGCACTATGGGGCATACGAGTAGGCTCATTGTTGTCATAGATTTAATTTAATTACACTCAACTCAATAAATTCTTACTTGCAGTTTTGCAGCGAACCAGTCAAAACCAACTATTATTCCTCACGACGGAAATTTCCTTCATTCAATGGGTTCACCGTTTCTAAGTTTTTATGACTTCCTTCTAATGAACACACACTACGGTTGTCTTGGTGAGTCTGGAAGGAGTTTTGATGATGGTACTTCCTAAATCAGCAGGAGTGGAAAATAAAGTGACGCAAAAAGCCGTACCGTATGCTGCCGCGTATATTTTGACAAGAGGCTACTAACGAAACAGCGGTCTTGCATGTCTCCCCCTAAATAGTGCTTTCTGCTTTGCTGTCCGCTCTCTCTTCCTTTCACACACAGTTTGATTTTTGAAAGCAGGCTTTGCATTTAGGCTCAATTGCCGGGATAGGTGTGCACGAACTGCGCTTTACTAACTCGTCGTGCTCTCCTCGCAGACCACGAAATCGTCCAACAGCTTTTGCGATGGCGCAAATGCGGCTGGCCGCACAAAGGCTACTCTCGCAGTAATTTGGTCTCTGCTAGCATAACGCGCTCACAGTGGTGCTATAAGTTATACCTTTCTGCTGTAATCCATATTATACCCGTTCAGTATTCCCGATGCTATGGTTCTGGTGCCACAATTCGCTAAAGTAATTTGGGTACTTTTCCGTTATCCGGACTCATTTTTTCAAAAGGCTCTCATATAATGATTTCATCGGTCCAAAAATAATTTTTATAAATTTTACGAGGATTGCCTCCTTCCACGTGTCACAAAAAATAGACACGTTTTGGATTTTGAAATTTTTTCGAAATCATTGCGATGACGTAGAACAGAATATGATCACCTTAGAGCTGTTTAATTGTTTTACATAAGAGCAAAAATCATGACTTTGTTCTAAAAGGTCTTGTTCGCTTTCAGCAGTGATTTGAGATGTCTTTCTCCTTAACCCTTTTCGTCAAGCTTGAAGTGCCTTGCTGCTGCTAATTTCGCCTCTCAAATGACGGAATCCTAGCGCACTTCTCTGCTCTGAGCAAATCTAGTCTGTTCGTTCGAAATGAGGTCCAAATTGAGTACAAAATCGATTAAACGAAAACACTTATTGTTGGTGAAAATTGTTAAGTTTGACACTCCTTCCCGTAAAGCTGAGACCAAATATAGTACAAGGTTAGAAGCAATAATCTTATTTGAAGAAATGGTTTTCTATACAATTTCAAATGCTTCAGTACTAAACGCAGCCCGCAGGCCAGCTGTTACACACCAAATTTGGTTCGCTTTGGCACCCCGCGCATTAGGCGCAACAGTGCCCATATTACCATTTTAACAGAGTTCGAAGGAATCCTTTCCAATATAATCTCATCCTGTCTAAATTTGCAATGCGGACACGCGAGCAAAACAGCCCTTAGTGATATAACATTGATCAGCCAGGCGCAGATGCACAGCATGTTTCATGTTGTACAACAGAGAAGTGCAAGTCTAAATCCTCCGCTGCCAAATGCACAAATGGTGGTTACCCGAATCCTCGAAATTGCTCCAAATGCATTTGTCCGCGTGGATACGGCGGTGTTACATGCAATGAAAGGGTGAGTTTCTACTTTAAGCACGTTAGCGTGAGTAAGTGATTTTTTTGTTTTTTTCAGCCACAAGCGAAGACTTGCGGTAAGACCGTTACTGCTTCGTCTAAGATGCAGACCATCACACACATTTTGGGTAACAAAAAAAACACAACAGTACTTGATGACTTTAAGCAATGCTACTATTGGATCAAGGTCTAAAATCTTGATAACGATTCAAAAACTTGGATTTTGAAAGCTCTTGCACTTTAGAATCCGCAAAAGAAGAAAGTCAAACTAACAATCAATGACCTTGGAGTTCGATATGTTAATGTTAATTGCAATTATGGAGGAGTTGAAATCAAAGCGCAAGAGGATCAGAAACTGAGTGGCTACAGGTTTGTACATATATTGTGCAGGTTGTCCTTGAAACTCCAATATTCGTTATTACAGATTCTGTGATTACAAAGAAAATAAGGGAAAGGTCGTTACCTCATCAAGCAAGATTATTCCTGTCATACTTTACACCCGTTTTGGGGCGACAGAACTCAAGCTAAACTATAAGATAGGTATGTAGAGGCCAACTTCAGGCAGATCTTCTATGGATAGAGGATTTTCAGTTTGAGAAGTGGAGCAACAGAGCATTCTTATCACTTCACCGTAACACTATCAACTTCTGCAATAAATGTTCTCATGCAATTCCCGAAGTTGTTGTCTAAGTTGAGATGATGATTGAACCATGCTCCTACCGAAACAACAAAGATCTAGCCTACTTTGCTTCTCATGGTCAAGGATCTGTGTCAAAAACAAAGCTACAATTTGTAATATTGCTGCGCGACAGAAGCCGTACGTTCTCACAACGACAAATTATGGTAAAGGAAGCTTACAAACTGCCACTCACCTGTGCAAAGCTATAGGCTGTTGCATGACGAAGGCGCACTATCTTCGGGCGCGAACGCGACTTTATTAGCCGCAGAGCGCATGAGGTGCGGGATCTATAACGGCGAGGATAAGCGCGCGTCGCGTTCGCTCCCGCTCAACTAATATCGCCGTTGCGCCTTCTCATGCAACAGCCTTTACTCATGCCCGCGTAGTGATAACGCCGCCTCAAACGTCATCAGTCGATAAGGGGCGTGTCGCGTATACGGCGCTAGCATGGTTCTGGCGCAGCGTTCCCACACGGGAAAATTTTGATTTGCTTTGCTTCGGGAACAGAGAGATCACAGAAGTAGTATATTGCACATGAAGGGGAGAATAAAAGCGCAGCGCAGACCTAATTTCTGAAAAAAAAACCAAAAAAAAACATAAACAAGTAACACCCTGCCATACACAAAAACAAGATTAATGAGGCTAGCAAAAGGTATTTCGATGTGGCATTCGCCAAATAATTTCAAACTATAGCAAGCGCTTTTAAGTGCTGACTCCGAACTGCTAGACGAAGTTACAGGCATATATGAGCTCTCAGACAATCGGTGCCGTAGCTCCGGAGGACAGTCGAAATCTGGCAGAGCTGCGGAGGACCCAATTGACCATTGAGAGCGGGGCGAGGGGGAGGTCCCTTTCTGTGACGTCACGGTGACGTCGCAAGAAGGCAGATGGGACCCCTCCGGCGGGCTTGCAAATCTCTGCTTCGGAGGTACGCCAGATTTGGGAGAGCCCCGGAGCACAGATTTGCGCTCCGGAGGTACGTCAGATTTGGGACACCTCCGGAGCACAAAATGGGAGTGCTCCGGAGCAGAAAATGGGAGGTCTCCGGAGCACAAAACGGGAGGTCTCCGGGACACAGAGTGGGAGGTCTCCGGAGCACAGATTTGCGCTCCGGAGGTATGCCAGATTTGGGACACCTTCGGAGCATACTAGGTATGCAGCCAATTTGCTGTGATACGCAGCTTATCATTTTCGAAAATAAGCTGCCGTCGCTCTCGACTTACTCCTTTTTGTCGTTCTTACGCGCTCGTTTTTCTTTTTTTTTTTTGGTTTTTCGTGTTGCTCGTCGGCGCGCTGGCATTTGTTGTTTAAAGTTATTCGTTTTCAGGTTTGTTTCGGATTTTCGTGTGGATACACTCAATCGCTTTGGTGTTCGGTCTCGTTTTCGACTTGCTGTCGTTTTTCCGCGTTCTTTTCCGTTCTTTTTCTTTTTCGTGTTGCTCTTCGGCGCTTTTGGCGTTTATTTGTTCAGTTTTTTCTTTTCAAGTTTCAGGTTTAGGTTTTCGAGCGGATGCACTTAGTCGCTTTTAGTGCTTGGCTCTTTTCGACTTGCTGAGACATCATTGACTATTGATGGAGTGGTTTTTGTGACAATTCTTGGATTTTCGAAACAAAAAGTTTATAAACAGAGAATTCGTGTTGAGTCACTATTAGTATGTCCGATATCTAAAGCTAGTGCTATGCAACGTGCTGGTCGCGCTAGTCGTACTAAGCCTGGTTAGCTCGGTCCTAATAGTTCTCACATTGGGAAACTTTGCATTTTAGGAAAGTGTTTGCGGAGATCCCTTTGTTTCTCTACATGCTCACAAGCTTTCTGAAGTACCCAGTCTTCCAGAATCTCATGCTCAGACAAATGGCGGGAAGTTCCGGCGAACGTGCGAAAAATGGCAAAGTTCCGGAGGACCTTGTTCACCATTGGGGTATAGAAATGACAAAGTTTCCGTAAATTATGACGTCATGGGAGACGCGGATCCAAAGTTCCGGTGAAAGCTTGCGAACTTTGGCAAAGATGACAAAGTTCCCGTAAAGTACACTAAATGGACAGTTCCCGCGAACTTTGTCGTGCTAGCCAGCCGATCGACGCGGAACCACGCTTCGAGGGCGCGCGCTTGAGGAAGCGGATGTCGAAATACATAACGCCGCAACCTATGATCTCGTTTGAAGGTAAGCTCATGCCATGGTATGTCTTTTGTCAGTAGTTTGTGATAAAGTTCCCTTTTTTCAAGTGCGATGAAGTCGAGAAGAGCAGCGCACTACTGCTCACACGCGCAGTGGCAAGTTTCATATCGGAGAAGCTCTTCGCTGGGTACAACTGAGAGAAAAAAAAGTAAGCACTCAGTTATTCTGGGTTCCCAATGTTGTATTTCACTTCTAATGTTGTATCTCACTTCTCTTGCTCTGTCTCTTGAAAAGTTTGGGACGCTTTTTTTGAATGTTTTGTCTTCTTCTTCTTTATGCCTGTTATCTCTCCTCTTAACTCTTCTTCCTGTTATTTCTCCTCTTATCTCTATCTATCTCTATCTGTATCTGTATTCACTCAACTTCGATTAACAAGCGTCCCTAATTTTGCCATAGAAGTTCTTATCTCATTCTGGATTCCTATGCTTAACGCAATCCCCTGCTCCATCCATAATCTGCATTAATTCCTCCTATGATACATACACTGAAGTGTAAGTAAACTCCAACCGACAGCCATTACCCCTTTCTTCGCTCGGTAGGCTTTTTATCATCACAGTATCATGTGTGGTTCTAAAGTTTTGCAAAATTTTTAGGGTTAATACACAAATTTTGCAAAAATCTTAGAACCACACATGATGCTGCGATGATAAAAAGCGACTAACCCTTTTGCGGCAGAGAATATGATCTCAGAATGTAGTAGCAGAACGCAGAATATGCTGAGCGTCACGCTGAAAACGAACTTATGATAGGAAATGGAATGGAGAATAGTGAACACCATTTACTGACCTAGTGACCTACCCGATGTTATTACAACATGTACACTATTTGGAATTCCGTGAATTTGTTACAATGCGCAGTCTTCGCCAAATGTTGCTCGTTTTTTGTTCAAAGTTCAGAGTAGATACTCACGCATTAGTACGCTACCATCTTATAGTTGTGCCACTCCCTAAATGTAAGGGGAGAAATTCCAACCAGATTTACAGATTGACGTTCAAAGTCATTCACCAGAAAAATGATTGCCACTACAATATTTCATGGAACTGTCTGTGATTTTTCTACAAAAAAAAGTAATCATAGGTACTGATGATGTAGATTGGTGGTGACAGATTGGTGATAAATTGAAGATGTGCGCATTGGGCACAGATATTCACAAAGCTCGCGTAATTTCTTTAGAGTAATGTTCAACAAAATGGTAAACAGGAAAGAGGACCCCAGCTTTGACTATCGTTGTGCCATGCTGATGCGAATTCACATTTACCATTTGATCATGGCACTAGCGGGAAGACATTCACTAATTTAAAACGAAGGCTGAGATTCATTGAACAGACAGATACTAGTATTAGATAGATGGATACATAAAAATGCTAACCGCACTCACCTTTCAAAACTACATTTGATGCACTGTCAACAGGCAACGAAGAAACTCAAGGAGAATGTGATTTCGCTTTTGAAGAATTTTCTTCTTGAGAGTTCTTGTGCCGCTTTCGACTCGTGGAGGTGGAGGTGGAGGTAGTGGGACCTGAACTTTCCATTATTTACCGCACAAAGATTGTAGTTACCATACCTTTATTCCAGCTTTCTTTAGTGCATCTTCTATAGGCCGTCCGCGCAGGGCGCGGAGAGTGCGCAAGGTGTGTATTGCGCGTTACTCCTCTTTCCTCGTGCACTCTCGCCGCCTGTTTTTCTCTGCGCTTCTTCCAGTCGTGAACTGCCTTCAATGTACGCAACAGCGTTGCTCTCCGTGCGCAGCGCGGACCCTATAGCAGCTACATGAGATACATTCGTGACAGGTATCGTAAGTCTTTTTAGATCTTGCTGTGGGCTCATTACTTGAATACTCGGCCATAACCTGGAGAAAATCCATAATTTCTTCGAAGGAAGTATGATATTCACGTTATCGATTTCCTCTCGGAATTCTTCAAATTAGTAGGCCTTGAGAGTCTCTGGCGTTGTGATTTTTGTGTAAAAATAATAGCCAGAGAACACTCCGACGGAGTATAAAAAAAGCACAAGCCTGCTGGACGAAATCAGACGCCTCAAATGAAAGAATAACAATAAAACAGAGTCATAAGATCAACGCTATGAATTCTCGACATATCTCAATACGAATAATAAAAAAGCATATAGCAATGAAAAAACTCACTTGTTCTAAAGCTGCTCCTTCCGAAACCTGAATAGTTGTTGTTGGTTCGCCTAGTCCAAGCCGTCTCATCCGTAACCTAGTTGTCATCCTTACCAGACCTATTGCATTTCAAAAGTTTTAATTTTCACGTCATGAAACAAAGCAAAGAGTGCCTACCTTTTCCTATCGGTACCAAAATCTTATTTTTGAAGACTGGATGAATTTTAACGAAGAACTGCATCAGCTACAGGTCTTGAGATCTACAACGCAAACCTTACGAAATAGTCAGCGTACTAACAAGAAAAACCCACCTGCCTTGCAGCAATCATAAACACTTGTATCAATGAAAAGCCCATTTTGCTGGCTTTCGAGAACAACTTCAGACTAGGCATCTTAACTTTGTCAACAGATTTGGTAGTAAATACGCAGAGAAGTTTAGCGCAAGCAGCACTACTGTGGGCTACACGGAAATGTGTATATTAATCAGACGATAGTGACATTTATCTAGGCATCAATGTCACCATGATCAACTAAAGGGATAAATCAGGACTCATATCCACGAAAGTCCATAATGGAGGAAAATGGACTTACTTAGTCCATTTTATTCGTTCGCGATAGAAAGTGGTCGAAATCGGCTTTCGCTTACGATATCCAAAATTTTTCATCCCATCGCAACCGCGAGGCAAAGCGG